ACACACACACACACACACACACACACACCCCGATCTCTTTATTCAAAGATGAGGTAATGGAGGCCTACAGGGTTGAATGATTTGCTGAAGGTCCCATGGCCAGGTAGGAGCAGGCCTTGGACCAGAAAACCCCAGTCCTGTGATTTCCACACTCCCAGTCACCCTCTATCCTCTTCCACCTGTGATTGATAAGACCAGGCTCCTCCCTGAGTCCCCACCCCCACCCTGCTCTCCCCATGCTGAAGGAGAGATGCCTGTTCTGTAGCAAGCACCCTCCAGGAAATTGGGGACTCCTATGGGCAGGGAAAGAGGGAGCCTCTCCCTGATGCAGTGGCCAAGAAGTTTGGGTGAATCTTACGGAGATGATCAGAGTGCAGTTGGCGTGAGCAGAGCTCAGCAAGGAATCATCCAGAGGTAGCTGGTATCTGTCCAGGTCAGGAATGGAGAACTTCTTGTAGTACCTGTGGGGACATACGGAGGCCATGGGGACACTCAGCAAGATAACCCCAAACAGTGGGCATCAGGCCCTCTGCCACCAAGCTTCCACACAGCTGGAGACGAACAAGGGAAGCCAGTCAGAACGCCAGTATTTTGGAGCTTAGTGGCTGGCCCTGGAAAGAAAAGAATAAAAGGCCTTATGGAAGGTCCAGCAGTAGAAGAGCAGGGCCAGTCATGATTCCTTGATTAAGCCAGGGGTTAGAGTGATTCATCCCAACCTTATTCTGGCTTTTCACCCAGTGTCTTCGCATCCTGGGTTCTGTTTCCAAGGTTTCTGCATTTTTAAATAAAAACTTCTCCCTCGCCCACCTTTATCTTTGGGAGTTCCTCTGGGCCGCTTCTGCAAGCTTGGGACTACCAAAGACACAGAAGAAACCTGGAATACACAGATAGCTCAAGCAAGCCGGGCCTCCTCTGCACCCCAAGAAAATGGGATCTGTGTGCTAACAAGGGACAGAATAAGGACATTGAGGACTGTCCTCCAACACTGGGGACTGGCAATTACCATTTAATGGGACTTCCAACTGAAGGCCTACACTACCTTTTTCCTCCTTCGGGATCTTTCAAGGCCTTGTCAGCTGCCTATACTTTACAGCAGGCCAGAGGGAAGTACATCCACAAGGAGAAAGCTCCCTGAGAGGGCAACGCATGTGACTCATCGTGGAAGCTGGGTTTCCGGGGCTTTACAGAGCTTCGCTGGCCCTGAGACCCCACTCATCTGTTTCCACACACCACACACGGTCCCTGTCATCTGCAGGTGCCAGTCCAGAGATGAATGACCCCTTTTAGTAAAAAAACAAGCAAAAAAACCCAGATAGCAACACCCAGCCCATAATGTGTGTAACTGGACTTTGTTTTGCAGGAAATTTGACCTCCTTTAAAGAAGAGGAAACTTGGGCTCAGAGAGGTGAGATGTCTTGCCTGGTTTCACAGCCGTTGTCAATGGAGTCAGGATTTAAGTTCCTTCTCCTGGTTTGGTGCTTATCACACCAGAGCACAAAGAATGGCCTGTTCACCTCTAGCAACAGGCCCGTTTGGCATTTTCCTGGTGGAAGTGCAGCCTAGGCTCTGGCCAGTGGCCGCCAGACCTGTCCCCTGGGCACAGCATCAGCGCTGCTGCCGAGGACGTGTGGGCTGGGAAGGGAAACGCTGCAGGCAGGTACAAACAAACTCAAGTGAGGGGCCTGGAGAGGACGGGGCTTTTAATACTTCAGAGGAGCCTGGTCCTTGTGGTGACAGCTACCCCGAGTCCACTTCAAAAGCCCTGATGCCCTGGGGACTCAGAGTTGACATCAATGCAGCACTTCTGCCCCACTCTCCCTGCCCAAATCCCTCAGTTTAGCAGAGGCTCTCAGGGCCCCTCTCCTCCCAGGTTCCCCACTCCCCACCAAGGTGCTGGGACCCATGGCAGGAAAAGAATGTTTACTTAAAGGCTGACAGTTCAAAAGGAGTGGGGGCTGGGGGATCCTAATGGCACCACAGGTTTGCTTTATTTTCCAAAGCTCTGCCCCAGGGAAAGGCAATCCATCTGCCTGCGAATGGGGTGGAATGCCGGCCTCATCCTCTTCCTAGCCAGCCCAGGCTGAGGTCTCTTCCTGGGGCCCTTGGTCTGGCCAGCAAAGGTGGCAGACACTGATAATAGGGGAGAGTCAAAGGTTAAACAGCAGAGATTAGATGAACACAAAGGCTTGTTAGGAAGTGTTAACATCTTCCCTGCAAATATACACAAGAAGCAGAACCAAGAGAGGAGCCGCCCAGCCCAGCCACACGCATCCCAGCAGAGCCCACAGGGCCTGTGGAAGACCTTCCTGTGCAGAGCATGGGGATACCCTTCCTGCCTACCTGGCTTGTGTGCTGGGCGGACAGGGACA